GAACTGTGTGTCCACGGATTCCCTGAGCATCGCTTCCTTCCCACTGGCGGGAGGGGACAAGTTGGGGAGGGACACGGTCCGAAAGAATGTATTGTGATTCAGTCTGCCGTCTCCCGAGCCTCCGAGCAGCTTCTGACTTCGTTGAAGTGAAACAGACATGACGGTCATTCTTGATACGAGCTGACGCATGACCTTTCTTTAATTGTTAGCAAGAACGATCTTTTAATGCCGGTTCGACCCGTAGTTCTGACTGCCGGTTTTTGTTCCTGCACACAGACAGCCCGCGTCTTTAAGAGAGCCCGAAGCCCTACATTGCGACATCTTGGGGGGCTCGAGGCTTGAGGATTACCGCAGCGCTTTTGATTATAATGGCGGAGTGTCAGTGTGCGCTGGAACAGGTGGTGCATTGCCGTTGAAGGGTGTTACTGACAGCTCTGCATCGCCCTGTGAGCTGAACTGCCTCTGGGAGAAACATGATAATGCAATTAGTGTGCTTATCCACGTGAAGTGAGAGTAGATAATTCGCGCAATGCGGCTAGTCGAGAATTCAGTGCAGTGATGAAGTAGATTATTTGCCAGGAAGATGAGGGTGCAGCAGCAGCTTGATAAACATGCTGCATAATTACTACTTACCCTTGAGGGGCTTGTGGCAGTTGTGGCTGATGCGTGAGAACTTACTGTTGAGACATCACACACCCACCCCAGCAACTCGTTCAGCAATGCAGGTTGCAAAATAGTACGGGATGTACCCTGCAGCCCGAAACCATAAAGTGGATCCCACCAACATCCTTAAGTTAAGGGCTTGTTACCATGTAGAGGATCCCTCTAAATGGGTGTTGGTCTATCCTTAGCTAAGGGGTGTCTTCTAGTATTTCGACGCCATGAAGGTGGCCGGGGACCTCATCAACAACGAGTGCGCCAACGCTTTGGCAGATGTCGGAGGTCTTCGGGTCCGAGCCACCTGACGAGCAGGGTTTCGGGTTTAGGGCTTCGGTAAAACGGTTGGAAAGAATAATTTGGGTTCAGATTAAGGGATTTTATGGAAGGCTGATTGCGCATCCGATAGAGGCTTTACTGTAAGGTTTTCCTGCAGGCAAAGTCTCCAGACTTGACTGATCACCTGCGGGAGTGCCGCTCTCACAAACCCCTAAAAGCCTTGAAGCCAGAACCCCTAAACCTCTAAAGCCCTAAACATGGCTGTCCGCTGCACGAGGGTCCGAGTTCCCCGACGACCCCTCACACCTAAACCTCTCGCAAGCCCTCTTTGCCAATCATCCCTTCGAGTGCTACAGGAAAGTCCTACATCCGAACGCATTGAAGCCCTCAATTTCCCGTGGGGCCACTATCCATGTATCCATCTAGTCTAGCTGTTATGCTATGTTGAAATTGACTGGATGTTCCGCATAGCATGCTGCAGTTTGGGTGGTGTTATATGTGCAAAAAAACACATACACACACATATATATATATATGTCTGTGTGTGTATGTATCTAATGTATGTATGTATGTATGTATGTATGTATGTATAGGTTATTATACCTTTCTCTGTGTATATATGTATATATGTATCTACATATGTATATAAGTGAATATAGAAAATACGTGTAGATATATATATATATATATGTATATACATACATACATACATACACACATACATACATACATACATACATACATACATACACACCTTTTTATACTTAGATGTATACATATTTGTTTGTTTATTCATGTGATTCTACTTTCGTATGTGTAGTTATATGAATATATATATATATATATATGTACATATTTCTGTAGTATACCATAAAGAGGGAAGACCAGCCGAGGTTGTGTCGGAGGCCCCCACTGAGATGAAACCAGGAGATGGGGAGAACACCGAGGCGTGCCCGGCAAGGATTTCCAGATGGCTACACGACATACCGACATAGTGTAGTGTAGCCAAGTGTAGTGTAGTATGGCATAGTATATCAAGATGTGTGGTGTAGCCTAGTGTTGTGTAGTGGTTTATAGTGTAGCAAGATGAAGTATAGTTTAAAGTACAGCACAGCATAGCATTGCCTAGCAGAGTGTAGGACATCCTAGCCTAGTCGTCCACATATAGTCTACTCGTCTATTCTGCGAGTCTAATTTAGTCTGGTGAGTCGTGGTCTGGTTTAGTATGATATAGGGATCAGGATGCTGCGGAAGGGTAGGCTACAGGATCTCTGATAAATGCCTTTGTTATATAAATGTCTTTGTTATCCTCTGTTGGACATTAAGACAAGAGAGCTTGTCACGTCCACGGGGTCTAAGAGCCAGCCCAGAATAAGAAACGGCGATGTGGGGAAAACGGTGTGAGGTTTAAGATCTGAGACCCGAAGGTTTCGGCGAGTTCACCCTAGAGGCGTGTGTCAGGCGTTAGGTGCAACTTCGATAGACTTCACTTTTGTTCGTATACTCTAGGGCATGGAGAGGCTTTTGACGCGTGTCCGGAGCACTGCAGGTTGATACCCTGGACTGGTGCGATCAGAACAATCAGCTCTTCGGCATATAGCAGAGCTAATCCCCGTTGATATCGGTGAGTGCCCTGTCAAGCAGCTCCGAATGCGGAGCGATCGGCGTTGGAGCAGATTGTCGCTACATGAGTGGTTTGAGAGACAGATGACTGGAGCGGGATCTACGCCTTGCGCACGACACATCGGTTCTGGGGTCCAACCCAAGAAGGCTCCGGAGCTGCTTCGGATCTTTCAATCATAGGCCATGGGCGTTTAAGCTCAGGAAACGCTCTTCACAGCTCTTGCAGCTTTGGATTGTGATTTGTATTCTATTACGTTATACTCCATCATATGATGTTATACTATATAATATGATGTTGTATTCGATGATATTATGTTCTATGAGATGGTATCGTGTTATGCTATATAAAGTTATATTCTTATATATTAGGCCACTATATGTTATATCATGTTATGCTATAGTTCACCATAATATATTATACTAGACTGTATCATATTGTAGATATTTGGCGTCCTTACTATATTATCTTATATTATAATGTTTCATGTTTCATTGCATAACCTGAATGTTTTATTGTTATAAATCTGTATACTGTACTGTATATTATTACATTACACTATGTCTTATTATGTTGTATTGTATTGTATTACATACCATTCATGTTTTGTAACCTTCAAGTGCATGAACCGAGGCAGCGGCTGCGGGATCTCCGCAAGCTCATGCGATGCCTCTTCCAAGCCTTCGAGTTGGATGAGACGATCAAAACCAAGGACTATGGCCTATGCTCCATCCGGCTGTGTGCCATGCCGTTGGGCTCTTTTTCGCGTGTTTATGAGCACCTTCTATGCTGACCTGCTTTGTGCTTTGTCAGGACTGCCTGAGTTTGACAAGTCACAAGCGCAGCTTGGCTGTATTGCGAAACTTGCTACTGGTAAAGCCTGCGGATTGTCGCTCCTGCCACTGGCAATGCTGCAATGTGCGTAACTGTGAGTCCGTGACTTAGGTGGCAGGTACGGCCGATGGGTGTGCCTCAACCTCACCAACGTCATGGTGCACTCCGATATTTTCGCCATTACCTTTGCTGTCCTCACCATGTACACACTCTTTGCTCCAGACATACTGTTGGTATTCGGGCTCAGTACGGAGCACACGCAGTCGCTGGCGATAGCAAACACGTTCGTCTTATTCTTCTTTTGCGTGGAGGCTCCTTGTCCGATAAGAAATTGGATTGTTTTCGGGCGTTTTGGAGACGACAGTACGAAGATGGTCACAGGGAGGTATTAGACCAGGAGACCCATCACGGCACGCTGCAGACATAGAGGCAGCAAGCGTATATGTAAATGACACGCAGAAATCCGCGGAAAGGTCTCCAACTGCAGCATGGCCTTTAACCAGGCAGGCTAGGCAGTCAATACTATCATCGCCACAGTTTGCCGATCGTATGACATCGGCTCAGCTTGGACGGCGGTTTCGTGGCAGTTTCAGGGGCTAGTATCGCAAGCCTCTTCTTTCTGAAAATCAAGGATCACTCGCCCTCACCCCCTTTGCAAGGCTATTCTGAGCTGCATCTTCATGAATGGGTACATGCGCTCTGGACGAGTTTTTCTGGATGTGATGGCCATGGTTAGCTTGGCAGGCGGCCTTCACCACCACACACAATTTCTGAAGTTGCAAGGGTTGGCTGCTTGAGGTGTATCCGGTTGCGGGCTTGGGGGGTGAAACGGCTTGGGGGGTGACACCACAGACTCCATTCCCGTCCTCCAGCCTAAACCCTGAACGTGAAACTCCTAAACCCTGAAATCCTGAACCCCTAAACCCTGACCAGGAGATACCCTGCTGCTGACATACCTCTTCCCCGAGGATTTGTCTGCCATGGCCATGCGCTTTGGCTGAGGATTTGGGATGCTTTTGACAGTTGCAAGAGTACATCAAAGGTTCATTCGCAGCTTTTCTGTAGGCTTGCAGTAGTTGCATACGGTAGCCTTGTCTGTTCAGGCAAGTAATGGAGTTTTGTGACGGGATTTCTCTTTGGTCCTTCGGGTGTTCAGCCCTTCTCTAAAGGGTCCAGGCCGGCATTCCACGCACTGCCCAGGAACGTGGTGCCCTCGGACCACTTCACTTCAAGCTCCTCTCGGATTCTCGAGATCCTGAAATTTGCCCGGCTCTTTCGGATCGTTCAGCTCCCTGTCCTGTTAGGTGCAAAGACTGGGAGACGGGGTGGTTGAAATTGCACAGAGAATCTCCAGCCGCATAAACGCTCCGCGGTTCCATCCGAGGTTGCTGCGGACTCTGCATGGCATTGTCTGGCGCAACTTTCTGCGTCCGCACCACGGCCTGGCACAGCAGCTCTACCACAAGAGGCCTGGCAATTGTGGAAAGTCTCATGTCAGCCTATAGATGTCTGAACCTGATTAAGAGACACTTGCTTCAAGTCCCCAATGTCATATGGTGCAAATGCAGAGCTTGATTGGCTCGAGACCTGCTATAGTCGCACTGGAGCCATGGCTATGATACGAGTTCTGACGGAGGAGGGCGCCGACCAGATCTTCCACCACCAGTACAAGCCGGGCGAATATACATACTGGGACAAAGTCATGAACCCGATCTGGAACCGGATCGCGGAGGCTCTGCCCATGTGGTTGGCTCCGAATTTGGTCACCGTTATCGGCTTCGTCCCTTTGTGCGCCGTTTTCGCGGCCTCGTGGTACAGCGATCCCTTTTTTGGCCAAGCACCGCCTCGATGGCTTTCCTTCAGCTGGTGCAGCACAATGCTGTTCTACCAGGCGATGGATGCTGTTGATGGCAAGCAAGCTCGCCGCACGGGCTCCTCTTCGCCTCTGGGCCAGCTTTTCGACCATGGCCTTGACAGTGTGGCGAACTTGCTGCAGCACGCGGCGCTGGCGTCGATCGCATGCAGCAGCAGCATGCCCTGGATAATGTTCTCGATGGAATCTATGATGATCGGCTTTCTGCTGGCCGCGTGGCAGGAGTACCACACTGGTGTGTTCCCCACTGCGGCTGGTGAGATGGGCGTCACTGAAGGTCAGTTCACTGTGATGTCGGCGATGCTGCTGGCAGGTGTTGTTGGTCCAGAGGTATGGAAGGGCTTCTTGCGTGCAGCTCCTGACTGCATTCTCCTCAAGGTGATTGCTGCCGTCGTGTGCACCATGTGGCTGGCGCCATTGGTTACCACCCTTAAAGCTGCTGGACCCATCGCGCTCAAGGAGCTGCTGCCTATAGCCGTGACTTTCTTCGCTGCTCAATTCTGGCAGCATGAGTTGGTGGCCTCTTCGCCGCGGCTGGTGCTGCTACTCACGGGCTTGAACTTCTTCTGGATGAACCTACAGCTCATCGTGTTTACCATGGCCCGGATGCCTTTCTCGCCGGCTCAATGGTGTGTGCTGCCTTTCGTGGCTTCAGTGGCGGCATCTTGGGCACTACCTGTTTCGGCTGCTAGAATCGTCCTCATCTCCCACATCTTCGTTTTCGGGAGCTGGCTGCTGGTGTGGATTGTGTCGGCGGTGCAGCAGCTGAAGCTAAGACTAGGGGTGTCCATGTTTTCCATCAAGAAGCGTTCTTGAAAATGGAGCCGATTGAATGTCTGCTCCATAATACACGAGATGTTTCCATCAAGAGGCGTTCTTGAAAATGGAGCCGTTTGTCTGCTCCATAATCCACGAGATGTTTCCATCAAGAGGCGTTCTTGAAAATGAAGCCGTTTGAATGTCTGCTCCATAATACACGAGATGTTTCACAGGAGGACTGCCTTACGCAGTTTTTGGTGTGGGGCCGTTCCATAAAGCTTGCGACACCGAAGATGCATTTTTATGCTGATGGACACCCCTGTATGTACCGGCAGCAGTCGTGTCCCTATTTCATCTCCCCCAAAAACTCGGCCCCTTTCCCTCCTCACCCTTTGCTGGACAGGCTCTGGCGCGTCTTCCAGGACCTCGATGAGGCTTCCCGCCCCCACCTGCTTTGTTTTGCTGCTCGTACTGGTATTTCGGTGGGCTTTGGGGTTAGCTTATACATTGCTTGTGTTTGGTGTTTGATTTGAGAGGGTTCTCTGAGGGTTTTGAAGGGAGTTCTGGGATTTGTGTGGGTTCAGGGCTGGTTGGGCTTTTGGGGTTTCCGGCGGCAAAGGCTTCTTAGCAAGTTCAAATAGTAGGTGTAGGGTAGTAATATTGCCTCAAACAGGGGTTACAAATGAAGATCATGACATTATTTACAGCAATGCATCATGTTGTGCCCATAGCTTGTGGTAGCGGGAATTGCGCTGTATCCAATTGTGCTTGGAACTAGCGAAGGAACCTGCAAAAGGAGTCGGGGGCCGAGGGGACCAGGTTTCTGCACCCGGTAGTTGTACTCTGATAGACTCAGGACCGTCTCATTTTCGATCCGCCCTATGCTAAGACAGAATGTAGTAGTGGAAAACGAAAGTAACGTAAAGGTTACTGGGGAACTTAGTCGAACCAGAGTTCGAGCCAACCAAGCCTCCAACTGAGCCCGAAAGACTCGGAAGATTTTGAAGGTGGGTTTCGTGAGAAGAGACATCATCAGAGTATTCTGGCCATGAAGACCAGTATCTGCCAGGCAAAGAAGGGCAAGCTGACGAGTGAGCAGATGGATTTCTTCTTTACTGTTCGGGCCTCAGCCTGCTGCGATCTGGGTATCCGTGGTATAGGTCCTATAGGTGTTATAGGGTTTAGGAGATTTGCTTTAGGGTACCCGGCGGTCGCAATAGGCCTGGATGCAAAAGGAGATTTGGTTGTTGGGATAACTCATGGTTCAGGCCTTCGGCCGTGCATTTTCAGAGCGCTCCAGGACAGCCAGGCACGACAAGCAAGCCTCATGTAAGGAGGGTGTGGGGCTTCAAGGGTTGGGCAGCCTTTGGGATGCCTCCTTGAGCACTGCGCTGCATGGCTTGCTCGACTGCCCACACAGATCAAATCAAGAGCCACAAGAGCGTGCTCACCCGATAGTTGTAGTCGTAACAGCTTCCCGAAATAGCTTCTTGAGGGCTTAGAGGCTTAGAGCTGTTTCCAGGTTTCGCTAGCATTATCATGTCTGCGTGAGTACCGTCGGGACGGGACCTGTCGTCGAAATTAGTCCGGTTGTCCAAGCTGCCCAGGCCATGCGAATGGAGTTTCCAGAGCGGAGAGCTGCTTGTCAGCAGTCGGCATGCACAGTCCAGCACTCGTCAGCTTCGCTAACAAAGATGAGCTTGAACCGCCAATCCCAAACTACCCCAAATCCAACCTGACAGCAGGATCCCCATTAAGAAACACTTAGAGAACACCCCGTGATTCTAACCCCCTTAAGCCCGAAACCAAGACGGCTCAAGTGAAGCTTTGCATCCCAAGCGGCGGACGCTACTGTAGGAGGTTGTGCATCAGCACACAGTCGGGGTCATGGGTTCCGTGTGTGGCGAAGGCTCCGTGTGCGGCCGTGGCCCCTAAACCCTAAACCCTAAACCCCCAGGGCAAACCCATCCTGGCCGAGTGGAGCAGGCAGAAGCTTTTGTCGCCACCGGATTCAGCTACAGTAACGAGATCGCTTTGCCGGCTCTTTGCACCCCGGATCAGTGATGGACAGGCGCTGAAGCAGACCTGTTTGGGCGAGGAGAATTTGCCGGCTGCACATATGCAGCCATGAACGGCTGGCATACTCCGCGATAAGGGTCTTCGAGCTGTGCAAGTTCGTGGAGGTCCTTGAGGGGATCTTATTCCCACCGCAGCGATTGCCGCAAACGAACCCTCAGCACCTGGTCGCCAGGGCGGCCGACGTTGATGTTGCTGTCTGCTGGATCCATGAATCGCCGTGCCCCGTTTAAGTAATGTTCCTGGGCTGGGGTCTGGCATCATGGTGTCTTTTCCGCACTTCGATGTGCCAGGCGTTCTGCGCGAAATGAGTTTGCTTTCTCGCGTGCTTGTTCGGTTGACTTCGCTCTCCTCGTACATCATGCTGTCGACAAGAATGCCTTCGGAAAATCCTTTGCTGTTGCCCTGTTGTTGGTTCGCCGTTTGGTGATGTTGCTGTTTGTCCTGCGTGTTGTGTTGGAAAACGCCCATTGCTCGTATTGCCCGTCTGTTTCGGCAGGTAGACGCCCGTTTCGGCAACAGTTCAGTGTCGGCAATGATTGCTCTGCACGTTGGTCCTCGGTTTCATGGCTCCGCTGTTGCTGTTTGCCAGCACGACATACTGTTGTGCTTCCGGTTTTTGCATTCCCTTTCATCCTGCTTGTCTTGCGCGGTGCTTTCTGCCTTCTTTCGCTTCCTTGTGGATTTTTTCTTGCTGTTGTCCTGTCCCCCTTTACTCTCTCTCTCTTTCTCTTCGCTCCCTGACGCCATGCGTTTCGCATGTAGCTTGCCAGCAAGCGCCCGTGGAGTGCAAGTCTCTGGTTAATTTTTTGAGGTTGGTGCTGCTACTAGTGTCTCGTAGCAGGAGCTCGGCAGGTAGCCTTTTCAGGCCTTCTGCGCACGACGGCGACGAGCCCTCAGCCCCCTCCATGCTGGGGTGGGCATGTGATGAGGCCGCCGCGTGCCACCTTCGTCTGGTGGTTCGCTGAGCTTGCCACAAGATGGCGCTATTGAGATCTGGCGCTGTGGCATCCTCCGGCTCGCCACCCCCCCCAAAAAAAAAAACAAACAAAAACAACGGACCCTGAAAGCCCTGAACTGGGATAATGCCAGGTCCTAATTGAGAGTGCTGACAGCCCTGAAGCCATAACCTCAAGCCGATGACATACCCTGAACCCAAGGTATTGCCGACTAAGTCTCGGTGCTTTGGCGGTCAGCCGAAGACTCCAGCGATGGCTTTCGCGGCCAGGCAGTTTCCTGGCTATCGTTGCTCCGCTTTGGGCTTTAGGGCATTTGGGTATGGAATCTGCATATTAAGCAATGTCCACCATCAGCATGTGCATTGCAGCAACTATAAGAGCGCAGGAAGTACTAGCAGTAATGGTCGAATGCCAGCATGTATGCATGTGCGCGCATGTGTTGTTTGAGAGTGGGCGAGATAATTCGCTGAGAGGACTTCATTCCATGCTTCCACGTTTGCTCTGCATCCCGAACCTGCACCTCTCTCCAAAAGAACGGGGCAAGCTTTCAGCACCGTTTGCGCAGAAGACGTGGACCAAGGCATGGTCGCAACCTAGAAAAATGCTGTAATCAGCAATTTCCCATCCCTTCAACTCCGAACGCCCAAACTCCATAGGTTTGCAGCTCGGAACCCAGGACCGTATCAAAACCCAGTGTTCAGAACCCAATGGAAGCTTATCTACGCCTGACAAGACGCAGCAAAGCCGCATATACCCTAACAAATAAACCCTCAAGCCACAACCCAGATCCTATAAAAACTCCTACGTAAGCCTATAGGCCCTAGGCCTAGCAAAATCCGTAGCCCGACAACCCCAAAGCCCCAAACCCTTACCCCGAGGTACGGGACCATGGCCAGCTTAAAGCCCGGTGCTGGTACCTTTACGCGGCTGCCGCCCGGTGGAGAGATGCGGGCACTGAGACTTCGGATTTTGGGCCGAGGTTGATTTGGGATTCGGGCGATGATTCGAGTTGTCGTCGGCGTTGTAGTCGCATTAGCGGTAGCCGCAGTCGTAGTCGTCCTCGTCGTCGTCGTCGTCGTATAAATAAATGTAACATGTGTTGTTCGTATACCGAATAACAGTAGTTAGAACAACATCATGTCAAGGCTTCGTTTCGGGTTTCGGCTTTAGCTTCGTGCTTGAAGGGTGCAGCCGATACCGAAGGACAGAGGCCTCTGATCTCGACATGATCTCGATGATTAATTTCCTCGTCATTTGATTTGCATTGTTGCTTGCGGATATTGCTCATAGTGGTAGTGACTAGGTGGAGGGTCTAAGGGCTTCGTGATTCTAATGATGATGACCCCCCTGGTTCCTACACATTGACATATGTGTGACCGGCTGTTGCCGTCTCCATTCCTACTAGTAGTTCGCAGATTCTCACAGTGACTCATTGCTTCTGACTAGACTTATCCTCATGAGCATCCTCGTCAAAAGTCGCAGCCGTAAGCGGGCGACGAATCAGACCCGACACGAGACAAAGCATCATGAGTGTGGGGATGTCGACATTCAGCAATGCAAGAGTCAATGCTGTATCTTTCTCCTCCAGCTCCCAAGCGAAAATGGTTAAAGGCACAGTTGGACCAGCAGTGCTGGATGGGGTGGATCAGACCAAGCCGCTTTGCACGCCGAAGCCCCCGAAGCTCCCAAATCTTCTATAGTAGGCAGAAGCTGTGCAATCCGACAGCCTTAACCTGTGACTTGATTTTCTAGTGGAAACCCAAACCATGTAGTTCAAGCCCGCTTTACCCTGCCAACCCAAATGCCCCAACAGCGGAGTCATCTAGGACGCACTTGGCCTCTTCCGCTGCCCTCTGGGACTTCGATCGGAAGACGGAGCCCGGATGGGTTTCTGCAACGTGGGGTTTCAGAAAACTATTACAAAGGACTTAAAATGTAGACGATGTATATCACGGGATGCTTATTAAGTATTATAAAGATCCCCCCCCCCCAAGCAAAGCACACCCTAGGTTTAAGCCACCTGCCGAGTTCTTAGTCAGTTTTCAGCTCTAACCCTCAATGCTGCACTCCTGCACTGAACTCTTATACCATTCACCCCACTTAATGAAAATACAGGTACTAGGCTGGAGGAGCACAGGACTAGTGTGCCTGGAGACCGATTGCAGGAATCTTAGCGTAAGCCACCATACCCTTTACAACATCCGCAGCCTGATTTCCAAGCACCTCAGTGATGTCAACGCACTGCCATGAACTACGTGTCTGGATCTGAGAAGATCGAAGCCAAGACACTGCGGAGTCTGAAACTTACGGCCCTCTTCGGCGTAAGGATCCTAATGTAGGGGCCACAAAAATTTTAACAGGGTTTTGGGGGGTTCTTGGTTAGAATTATGGCATAAGTTTCCCCCAAACCCTATTCTAATTATTAAGGCCCCTACATTACAGCCCGGCCCTAGCTATTTTTCAGCATACCAGCGAGGGCAGCAACACAGCCAGGACTGCGATGGTACATTCGCGGGTATCATTGGCGAGTTCCGGGTAAGGCCGGCACTTGAGTCACACTCTGTTAAGTTGGTGGAGGGTGTGTTTGAGTTGTTTCGGGCAGATCGCTGTCCAAGTAGCAACCTTTGAAGTTGTTTTGAGGCACGATCCCGATGAAGGCATTGGGCATTGTCCAGTGCGTGAAAGGTCTTACTTGGGCTGTGGGCTTGAAAGGTTCTTACAGCCAGAAACTGACGTGGCAAAACACTTGAAGTCGTGCATTGTCATGTTGAAGTTGTCATTTTGGCGAGTGGGCGGCTGTGATCTTTTGTCATTCAATTCGTTTGACACGTGTTTGTCGTTTTGCTATTATTTCGGGGCGGTTTGCGAGCGAGGTTGGGTTCATTGTCGCAAGGCAGGTTCGGAGTGGGGCTAGGTCCACTGGTCATTAGTGAGAGCCTCTACTTCCGGCAAAACTTCCCACAGGGCCTGCTCAAGCTGTTTCCGGGCTTATGCGAGACGCAGCCTTCGAAACATGAACACTCAGCGCCTACGAGGCCAGAAGGCAAGCGTGCCCTCCAGAAGTGCACCGAGGACGGGCTGTGGACTCCAGCAGTAGGATCCTTATTGCGGTATGTGCCGTTCCCGAGCATTGTTACAACAGCCATTATGGTCGGTATTATTTTCTAAGGAGCCTCCACGAAGGCATCTAGAACTTTCGAGTGGATCTACTGTCGTCTATTTTGAGCGTGCGTTATGCAACCCTAAACCGACCTCATGTTTCTCATGCACTATACTATACCCAGGTTTAGGGTTCATAGGGGCTCAGAGCAGTCGGCGCCGTGCTTCCTGCACATCCCGAAACACTAAATCCTTATAAATTATCGCCACCCTACTCTAGATCCTGTTCAACAACAGGACGTGCAGCGGGTTAAGGCTTCTTTCTCGCTGGTGCAGAAGGCGCCAGAACTCCACCAGAAAGCTGTTTAGGGTTCAGGAATCATTTGCCCAATCCAAGCCCACTTGGCCGATTTGTTTTTGAGTTTTGAGGGACATGCATCACAGAATGTAGGTTCTTCTTGAACAGATTCTTCATGAAGGCATGCTCCTCACGGGAGATGTACCAGCAGTAGTTAGGTTTCGCGCAGCGTTTCACCAAACGAGGTGAGTGGTCCCGTCGTGGTCAAGGTCTGCCTCATCGTCCTGGGAGTCATGGGCATCGTTGCCCTTCTCGATGACTCTATTCAGGACCACTGGCCAGAGCCTTTGGAACTTCGCCAAGTCCCTTGAAGACTCATCCTGCCACGGCTTGCCCGTTCAGACTCAGGTCGACATCGTCTCGCTGTAGTCTGGGTTGAGGTTGTGGGCTTTAGGGTTCAGGGTGGGAACCTTCAAAACCTCGCCAGGATCATGGGGACTACCAGCACCTGGCTCACCTGGATCGACTGGTGGCCTCCCTGTCGGGCCGAGGGCGCTCCGGCGGTTGATAGGTCCTAGCCTTTTCATGTTATGTCTTCCAATTTTCTAGGGGCCTAAATAATGACCTACACGATGTTGGGGGGTTAGAGAACGGTTAGAGTATAGTGGGCTCTGTTATTTGGTCTGCAGTCCTGACACGTTGAGATTCTTCCATTGGGAGAGTCAGGAGTAACGGAGTTTTCAAGGCTTTCTCGTGAGTCTCTTCGAGGGGGTTTGAGACTGTCCAGGAGCCACGAAATGCCCGCCAAAGGCGAGGGACCGAAGCGCCTATGCCATAGACCCATGCCCAGGCGCTCCGACGACCTTTGCGCTGCCGCCACCGGCTTTGCAGAGGTGCAGGGGATCAGCCTCGGGTTCTCCAGCCTGCTGCAGGGGGTCTTAATGGCTAGAACAGGGGTTTGGGGTAATTATGCTACACTCTAGTGATAATAATGAGCCCCAAAATAGGATTGATAATTATGTAGGCCCCCATGTTACTTCAACCGGAACGTCAAGGTGTGGCCCATGGTGACCTTGTTTCTGGGATCCATTGTGTCGAGGTTCTCAGGATTCATTCGACAAAACACCTCGTGACCATGGCCTGCGTGCCGCCTCAGGAAATGTGTGGCACGGCGCCAGGGCGGTCTTGACAGAGAAGAGAGAATCAATCAAGTTCTCGGCATGTCGTGAAGCCAGCATTTTCGTATACCAAGCTGGTGAATTCTGTGGGCTAGCTGGGCCGGGCCCTAAACCCTAAACCCTAAACCCTACGCTGGCCCCCATTCAGCAGCGAGTGTTTGTAAAGCATGAGACATGGCTAGGCCTCGCCTCATCACCTGCTGATGGCCGGGATCGGCCCGCTGTGACCCGGTGGAGGGAAGGGGCTTACTTAAAGGATCATGGGCCATGGGACTTAGTAAGTAGGGTTATAACTAAGGTAACTATAATTATAACCCCAATTAGGGGACCTATAACCATACTTACTAAGTCCCATGATCCTCCAAGTAGGCCTTCGG